TAAACAGCATCTAAGGGATGCGGGTATGTAGAAAATGTCACCATTATCCAGTACTGATATAAAAGTTGAGCTTATCAACATCCCCCAGCAATGCAGAGGAAAACATAATTTAGTCCAAATAAAAACAGAGTTGAAACCAGAAGTTTACATACACTGTATAAAAAGACATATAACCTTTTTTTCCTCACTGTTGGAAAGTAAAGGTGACTAAACATTTCCTGTTTTAGGTCATTTAGGAATAAATGCCAAACTAATGTAAGAGAGAATTTTTAAAAGATATTTTTTGATTACTATCTTTAAAGTCAGAAGTTTACATTCATTTCCTTCGTATTTGGTAGCATTGCCTTCATGCAGTATGACTTGGGTCAGACATTTTGGGTTTCCTTCCACAAGCTTCTCACAATAGTTTGCTGGAATTCTGACCCATTCCTCCTGACAGAACTGGTGTAACCGAGTCAGGTTTGTTGGCTGTCTTGCTTGCATACGCCTTTTCAGCTCTGCCCACAAATTTTCTACAGGACTGAGATCAGGACTTTGTGATGCCCACTCCAAAACCTTAACTTTGTTGTCCTTCAGCCACTTTGTAACTAATCTGGCAGTATGCTGAGGGTCATTGTCCATTTGGAAGACCCATTTGCACCCAGGCTTTGACTTCCTGGTTGATGTCTTGAGATGTTGCTTCCATATTTCCACATAATGTTCTTTCCTCATGATGCCATCTATTTTGTGAAGTGCACCAGTTCCTCCTGCAGCAAAACACCTCCACAACATGATGCTTCCACCCCCGTACTTCACAGTTGGGATGGTGTTCTCAGGTTTGCAAGCTTCCCTCTTTTTCCTCCAAATGTAACGATGGTCATTATGGCCAAACAGTTCAATTTTAGTTTCATCAGACCACAGGACATGTCTCCAAAAATGAAGGTCTTCGTCTGTGTGCATTTGCAATCTGTTTTTTTTTTATTTTAATGTTGCTTTTGGCGTAATGGCTTCTTTCTTTCTGGGTAGACTTCAGTCCATGTCGGTACAGGACTCATTTCACTGTGGATAATGACTCTCTCTTACCAGCTTCAGCAGCATCTTCACAAGGTCTTTTGCTTTTGTTCTGCGGTTGATGCACACATTTCTCACCAAAACACTTCATCTCTGGGAAACAGAACCCGTCTCCTTCCTGAGCGATATGATGGCTGGACATTCCCATGGTGTTTATACTACCATATAATTGTCTGAACAGATGAACCTTCAGGCGTCTGGAAATTGTTCCTAAGGATGAACCAGACTTGTTGTTGAATGTTAAAATTGGTTATAAATGAACCTTCACTAATTCATTTCTATCTGATTGCAGAGGAACTTCAGCAGCTCCACCGCACTGACTGTCATGATGCTACCACTTATTGCTCTGATGGTGGCTGCTTTGTCAGCAGAAGTCCAGACCACCATCAGTTTGAAGTCCACCTTCCATAGACAAGGTACAGACCAAGTTCTGAAGGCTTGTTAAAGCATTCTGCAGATACAGACCAATGCTCGAGCTTTCGAATACACACCAAGTATCAGAAGAGCAACAGCAGCTGCAGTCTGTCAACAGTATCTACACTGAACATAATAAATGCTTTGTTATATTGCACAACCCAATGCACCTGAAGCCTACAAAGTTCCATGTCTTTCAAGGGAAGTTTACATGAGGTCTCAGCCGTTACAGCGCTAATGAAGTAGCATCTATTGCTTGCTTATGTTTTACCCACAATAACTGTCTACTCAGGCTGTACAACAGCTCAGACTGCTGTTTGGGTTGAAGGGCACAGCAGTGCAATGGTTAGGACTGTTTCCTGGCTCTGCTGAGTGACTGGCTGGCTGCCCCTCCCCACTGAGAGTGTCCCAGTTTTCTGTTTATGAGATTGTTCAATGCCTGGTAAATATCCATATCATATATAGCACATTTCTTCTAGCAGGCTCTGCGTACAACTATGGGCCACAGAAGATAATGTACCTGTTTTTGTCAGTGTTTTGCAGGTTAAGTGGTTATGTAGTACACTGATACTGGNTATCCAGTACTGATATAAAAGTTGAGCTTATCAACATCCCCCAGCAATGCATAATTTAGTCCAAATAAAAACACAGTTGAAACCAGAAGTTTACATACACTGTATAAAAAGACATAGAACCTTTTTTTCCTCACTGTTGGAAATTAAAGGTGACTAAACATTTCCTGTTTTAGGTCATTTAGGAATAAATGCCACAATAATGTAAGAGAGAATTTTTAAAAGATTTTTTTGGATTACTTTCTTTAAAGTCAGAAGTTTACATTCATTTCCTTAGTATTTGGTAGCACTGCCTTTAAACTGTATGACTTGGGTCAGACATTTTGGGTTTCCTTCCACAAGCTTCTAACAATAGTTTGCTGGAGTTCCGACCCATTCCTCCTGACAGAACTGGTGTAACTGAGTCAGGTTTGTTGGCTGTCTTGCTTGCATATGCCTTTTCAGCTCTGCCCACACATTTTCTACAGGACTGAGATCAGGACTTTGTGATGGCCACTCCAGAACACTAACTGTGTTGTCCTTAAGCCACTTTGTAACTAATTTGGTGGTATGCTTCGGGTCATTGTCCATTTGAAGACCCATTTGCACCCAGGCTTTAACTTCCTGGTTGATGTCTTGAGATGTTGCTTCAATATTTTCACATAATGTTCTTTCCTCATGATACCATCTATGTTGTGAAGTGCACCAGTCCCTCCTGCAGCAAAACAGCCCCACAGCATGATGCTGCCACCCCCGTACTTCACAGTTGGGATGGTGTTCTCAGGCTTCAAGCTTCCCTGTTTTTCCTCCAAATGTAACGCTGGTCATTAAGGCCAAACAGTTCAATTTTAGTGTCATCAGACCACAGGACAAAAAATTACCCAGATAACAAAAATCATTTGGCCCGGATCAGGCCCAGACCCTTGATAAGTTCTGGGCCTGATCCGCATAACGGACTTGGGCCGGTGTCCTTTGGCACAACGGGCCAATACTGGTGCGGGCCCGTTTTTTTTTATCTGGGCCGCAGCTGGGCCAGCTTCCAACCGGGCTTGGGCCGGTGTCNTCATAGATGGAGGATTCTAATTGTAGAAAGAGCCTGGTGGGGAGGACACTGGAAACAGGAGTGAAACTTTGCCACTTTGTCACTAATCACAACTGCCCAGCACTCCAGCCAAACTACTGCTCAGTGCCGTTTATGTCCCAGTAGGGCTGGTCCGAATAGCAATTTCTGATCTCCGGACATTCGGTCCCAATTAATGACGAATATCCCAAATATTCGGGGGGAGAGATCAAGTTTGATATCCCGATTCCAGCATAGCGAACGAATAGTCGGCTATTCGGGTCCAGCCCTAGGTCCAGTTGACATCTCGCTAGTTCCAAGGGTCAGCATGTTTAGCCTCTGAGTTGGTCACCACCTCTTCTGTTACTGGGCCTGGTCCTGGGTTGACCAGTGTCTCTACTGTTCCTGAGTTTGTTACTGGGCCAGTCAATACCTGTCCTGTTTCCGAATCTGCTCCTGGGATGTTCAGCCCTTCTCCTGTCCCTGGGTCAGCCAATGTCTCGTCTGTTTCTAAAGTTTTCTTCTACACCATTCAAAACTTCTTATTTCTCCTGTTCTTGAGTTGATTCCTACAAGCCGTTTGACACTTGTACTGTTTCTAGGTTGACTAACACCTCATCTGTTTCCAAGTCTGCTGACATATCTCGTGTTACCGAGTCAGCCAACACCTGTCTCATTCCTGGGTTGCTTGATGTGATTCAGTCTCCTGAGTTCTCAGATACCTTGCTTGTTCCTAAGTTAGAGGCGGCTGATGCTAAGCCATGACTCCTTCCCAGGTTGACTGGCCAACATCTCTTCAGCCCGATAAACGCATCAGTTCTTCAGTTAGTCTATAGCTCTCCTGCTCTAGTTGACCTGCTGCCAGATTCAGGATCAGCCATCGCTGTTGGTTCCCATATAGAGAAGCATGTGTCTGCCCCGTTTACTGGTACCCAGCAAGTGCCTTATTGCTCCCGTTTCCAGATTTCTGCCTCTTCCTCTGTATTGCTGCCTGTGATGTTGGCTCACACCTCAGAGGGCTTCCACCTTTGTCGCAAAGCTTTCTGCCGAACACACACACAGCCAATAAGGACTAAAAAACAGTTTTTCTCGTAACTTGTGATCAGCCGTGTGCTCGGCTAACTGGTCTCGAATCAACTCCTCCTCTAACTGGCTCAATTTACAGAGGCTAGCCAAACACCGGAGGTCGGTGACATACTGGTGGAGGGAATCACCCAGTCACTGTCAGCGCTGGCAGAATATGATTTGCCAGACTAGGACGCTCTGTGGAGTAGTCTATGTATGTGGCTGCGGGTCTGAGAGTG